AAGCAAGACAAAATAATAATAGTTTAGGCCATAAGGCAAAGTCAAAGATCTTTAGTTCCTCTTCAGTCATACCCATGAGATGTTTTGTAGATATTAAAAGCCCCACCAGGTGAAAGAAATTAACTGCATGCTGACAAGCATGTTATTACCTTCCTTTGCTAATTTTGGTATTAATTTGTTCACAACCTGACCTCAGACAGGTTGGAACCAGAAGGTTGATGATGTTAACTCCTGAAATACCACCCTATTACCTCACCACCAGTGAATCAGAAGAACATCTACCAGCTGCTCAGGCACCCTACAAACTTCACCTCTAATGTTGCCTTTAAAAACCCTCCCCTGGGCTTCCCTCGTGGTGCAGTGGTTGAGGGTCTGCCTGCCGATGCAGGGGACATGGGTTCGTGCCCTGGTCCAGGAGGATCCCACATGCCGCAGATCGGCTGGGCCTGTGAGCCATGGCTGCTGGGCCTGCGTGTCCGGAGCATGTGCTCTGCAGCGGGAGAGGCCAGAGCAGTGAGAGGCCTGCGTACCGCAAAGAAAAAAAAAAAACAAAAAAAAACCCTTCCCTGAAAGCCATCAGGGAGTTCAGGTCTTTTGAACATGAGCTGCCCTTTCTCACTTGGCCCTGCAATAAACGCTGTACTTTCCTTCACTACAACCCAGTGTCAGTAGATTGGCTTTGCTGCAAGTCAGGCAAGCAGACCCAAGTTCAGTTCAGTAACCAAAGCACAAGCAACAAAAGTAAAAATCAACAAGTGAAGCTAAATTAAAAAGCTTCTTTGTGACAAAAGAAATAATCAACAAAATATAAAAGCAAGCTATGGAATGGGAGAAAATATTCACAAACCATCTGTCTGATAATGGGCTAATATCCAAAATACATGAGAAATTCATAAAACTCAATAGCAAAAAAAAAAAGAAAACCAATATGACTAAAAAATAAACAGAGGATCTGAATAGACATAGGCCATTATAAATGGCCAACAACATGAAAATGTGCTCAACATCACTAATCATCAGGGAAATGCAAATCAAAACCACAATGAGATATCACCTCACACCTGTTAGAATGACTATTATTAAAAATACCAGAGAAAACAAAGTGTTGGCAAGGATGTGGAGAAAAGGGATCCCTTGTGCGATGTTGGTGGGAATGGAAATTGGTGTAGCTCCTATGGAAAACAGTATGGAGGGTCCTCAAAATATTAAAAATAGAATTTCCATATGATCCAGCAATCCTACTTCTGAGTATATATCCAAATGAAATGAAATCACTATCTTAAAGAGATATCTGCACCCCCATGCTCATTTAAACATTATTCACAATAGCCGACATGGATGGATGAATGGATAAAGAAAATGTACACACACACACACACACACACACACGTACACACACACACACACACACACACACACTGGAATATTATTCAGACATAAAAAGAAGGAAATCCTGCCTTTTGTGACAACATGGATTGACCTTGAGGGCTGTATGATAAGTGAAATAAGTCAGACAGAGATGGCATACACCACATGAGTCACTTATATGTAGAATCTTAAAAAGCTGAACTCATAGAAACAGAGAGTGGAAGGGTGGTTGCCAGAGTATGGGGGAAATGGGGAGATATTGGTCAAAGGTATATTGGAAGTACAAACTTCCAATTATAAGATGAATAAGTTCTGGGGATGTAATGTACAGCATGTTGACAATAATTGACAATACTGTACTGTACACTTGAAAGTTGTTAAGAGAATGAATCTTAAATGTTATCTCAGCTCCCCCAGATGGCAATACTGTGAGGGGATAAAAGTGTTAACTAACCTTATTGTGGAAAATATTTTGCCATATATTTGTGTATAAAATCATCAAGTTCTACACCTTAAACTTACATATGTATTGGCTTGCCCAAAATGTTCATTCAGGTTTTTCATAACATCTTAAGGAAAAACCCAAATGAACTTTTTGGCCAACCCAATATATGTCAATAATATCGCAATACAGATGGGAAAAAAAAGACAATCCAATTTAAAATTCAATAAAGAACTTGAATAGATATTTCTCCAGAGAAGATATACAAATGGCCAATAATCACATGAAAAACATCCTTAACATTACTAATTAGGGAAATGCAAATCAAAACCACAAGGAGCTACCAACTCACACCCATTAGGATGGCTATTATTAAAAAAAAAAAAAAACACAGAAAATAACAAGTATCTGCAAAGATGTGGAGAAATTGCTGGTGGGAATGTAAACTGGTGCTGCCACTGTGAAAAAAAAAGTGATGGTTCCTCAAAAAACGAAACATAGAATTACCATATGATCAACAATTCCACTTCTAGGTCTATACCAGAAAGAAGTGATAGCTGAAACTTGAACAGATATTTGTACACTAATGTTTATAGCAGCATTATTCACAATAATAAAAGGTAGAAACAACCCAAAAGTCCATCAGTGGATGAATGGATAAAGAAATGTGGTACATACATACACTGCAATATTATTCAGTCCTAAAATGGAATGAAATTTTTATAAAGGCTATTATACAACATAGGTGAACCTTGAAACCCTTATGCTAAGTGAAATAAACCAGACACAGAAGGGCAAATATTGAACGATTCCATTTATATGAGTTACATAGAAGAGTCTAATTCACAGGGAAAGAAAGTAGAATCCAGGTAGAAAGTAGAATACAGCAGCTAGGAGGAGGGAGGAATGAGTAGTTATCACTTTATGGGTACAGAGTTTCTATTTGAGGTGATGAAAATATTTTGGAAGTAGGTAGAGATGATGGTATACAACTATGTAATGTACTTAGTGACACCGAACTGTACACTTAAAACCTGTTAAATTGAAAATTCTATGTTATGCATATTTTGCCACAATTGAAAAAAAGAAAAAGAAACTCTGTTCAGTTTGTTTTTAGGATGGACGTTTTAAAATATAGATAAATGTAAAAGAACAAGAAACCGTCTAGCCATAGCCATAGCCACTTCATCTGATAGTACCCCTCACACTAGTTTGTTTGAGATTGGGGAGGACATCTCGCTGCAGGGAAACTGACCTGAGTCCCAGACTGCCTCTTGCCGTGCCCATCCTTGGAGCCATTGGCCGTCCTCCCTGGTCAGCCATCTGCTCCAAATTGTGGCCCCTGAAGCATGTTCTTCTCCAAGTTGACAGTCCCAGTCCTGCCAGCCTTCCTCAGAGGTGTGGGGTTCCACCCCCTCACCTCCCAGTCCCTTCAGATGTGGGCCCCACATGGAACTGGGTTCTCGGGCTGCAAACCTGGAGCTTTGCACACCCACTCATGCAGCTGGCCAGATCAGCATCATAGGCTGTTGTTAAATTTGTGCTCACAGTTAAGTGAAATCCTCTGGGTCTGTCGGAAAGCAAGGCGTGTGGCCAGGGGGCCTGAGATCCTCCAGTCAATCAAGTCACCTGGGAGCCCAGGTCAAGAAAACCCTAACAGCCCATGCCAGGAAAGAAGAGGGTTATAGCCACAGCCTGAAAATGCAGATGAGAAAACTAAGTCAGTGTATTACAAAAATAACATAAAGTAAGTTTATATTAAAACAGTTTAAAGAAAAAATCTTTCAGTAATATCTAAACTGGGAAATCTTGGTGTGAAAGGTCTTTCCAGGGGTCCTTGGAGAAGACCAGATCCCATGTCTTGGGGAAAAAAATTATATATATGTGTGTGTGTATTATATAGTTTATTTATATATATAAATATATTTTATTTATAATATATAATTATATATAGTTTATTACATATAAATATATGTTATATGTAATACACAAACTATGTATATGTTATATATATGATATATATGTTATATATGTTATGTGTATATATATATATATGTGTGTATATATATATATATATATATAGTTTTTTTTTTTGCGGTACGCGGGGCTCTCACTGTTGCGGCATCTCCCGTTGCGGAGCACAGGCTCCGGACACGCAGGCCCAGCGGCCATGGCTCACGGGCCCAGCCGCTCTGCGGCATGTGGGATCTTCCTGGACCGAGGCATGAACCCGTGTCCCCTGCATTGGCAGGCGGACTCTCAACCACTGCGCCACCAGGGAAGCCCTATAGTTTGTTTTTGTTTGGGGTTTTTATACCCCAAAATAAGGATGTTTTTAAACTGTCTAACAGGAGGAAGTAGATGGCTTAGAATAGTTTTCACTGACAATAGGGTGACAAGCTGAGCATTGACTAGACCAATTATCACTCAATGGAAGATGTTAAGGGAAAATTTGTCCTTGTAATGCTGTAATGCGGAAGAAGGGAGACCATAATAGGAGAGGCTAATCTTTGTTAACTTAAACTGGTGAGGACTGTGGAGTCTAGGGGATCCTACACTTGATTCAGGGTTATGTGGCATGAGGCACAGATCCAACTATGTTTCTATGTAATAGGGGGGAAATTGATTCTGGGAACTCTGAAGGCCAGAAACTGCCAGGAAAGGTCAGGACTATACCATCAACATGGGGGGAGGGAGGACATCTGGCCTAACAGTGAGTCAGTCACTGGCTAGAAAGACGATTCAACTCCAAGAAATGCAAGAAGGGGGCCTCACCCAAAGGTGGTGGGTGATCCTTGCTGAAGGAGGGGCCTGCGGTGGAGCTGCTCTTGACTGCGGTGACTGGGGTGGGATGATCTCAAGGTGACTGATGATAAAGAAGGCTGCTGATTTATGACAAAGCCAGCCCAGACCAAGGAAGGACGTCTGTATCCAGGGGATTTTTTTTTGGAAATGGGAACAGGGAGGGAGCCCATCAGGCTCAAAGAAAGGAGTGGCCTTCGTCATCCACGGAGCCCTGACCTCTTTTGGGCCTCAGCCCAAGCCTGGACTGCAAGACTCCTTCCTTCTTCCTCCCAGCGCTCTCTGCCTGTACTCTCCCCCCTCACCCCACTCCACCCCGCCCCACCAGCCCTGCCTGTGCTCCGCCCCTCACCCATGCTCCTGGCACTTCTCTCCGAGCCATCCCGGAGTTGCTTACTCCATACTTTATTCCTGCTCCCAGCGTGCAGACCCTCCTTCCTCAGCTCAGCGGGGAGAGAGTCCCACAACACTTCTGCCCCTCCCGCAAGACTGCGGCAGGCCACAGCACCGGCAGACGCCACACTGTGAGTACCTGTGAGGGGAGCACCTCGTTCCTTCCCATTAGTCATATAATCAGGCCCAAGAAAAGCACTCTGTAAGGAAGGCTCTTGAAGACTCTGTCCCGCATCTCGAGATTGGCCTGCTCCTTCTTCCAAACCCGCTCCGAATCCTGGGGAGGGCTCGTGACTCGGCCCTTCCGACAGGGTTGGCTAAATGTGCCCCGGCGCTGCGTGCTGTGGAGGCTAGGGGCACCCACACCTGCGCGCTCTCAGGAGTTCGGACCGCGGCAGGGAAATACGGTCGGGGGCAAGGGGAGACGACTGGGCGGCTGTCAGTCTGGGGAGCCCAAGAGGCTGGGCCTGAGGGATGCAGAACCACAGCCCTGCGGGGGAGGGCAGAGACGCACGGAGGCAGATACCGGAATAAACACGAACAAAGCGAGACCGAGCGAGGTCCGGGCGGCGGCCCTGCCAGAGCGGTCCCCACCCGGCCCCGCGCGCCGCCTCGCCCACTACTGCGCGGGTGCGCCTACGCGCCCGACAGGCTCTCTGCCGGGCCCCGCCCCGCCGCGGCGCGATTGCCCTCCGGCTGCTAAACCCTTGCGGGCCCGCCTCCTGCCGCGGCCTTCCAGCCCCTCCTGCGGCGAAGGGAGGGAGCCGGCCCTCGGCCTCCCAGGGTCCGGCGGGCGCGCGCTGCGCCGGGAGCTGACCGTGGTGCTGAGCGCTCAGCTCGGGATCGGGCGCGGCTCCCGGACCTGCCAAGGCCGCGTCCTGCGACGCTCCAGGCCCCAGCGGTAAGTCGCCAAAGCCCCGAGGATGTAGGCGTGGAGCGGAGGAGGGCAGCGATTTGGAAATTTTTGTGCGTTTTTCGCGCAATGGGCGGGCTGAGAGGAGGAACCAGTGTCTGCACTCTGTCCACTCCGTGATGCGGGGTCTGGGAGCAATGACACAGACCTGAAAAGGTCTGGGCTACGGAAGGGGGGAACCTTGTCCCCTCGGATGCGGGTACTGGGAAGGGACGAGTAAGACTGGAGACCCATCTTTTCTCCACTGGGCAGGCCAGGAATGCCCAGAGACGCCCTTAGAAAAAGTAGACCAGGACCTTCGCTCCCCAAAGGTCCCTTTGTCTCCCCAACGTGGGGGCTGGGTGAATTGGTGATGTTCTAAACACTGCAGATTCTATTTCTGCTTCATTCCCCACCCCACAGCCCTCCCAGAACATAGAGGCTGTCCCTCCCCGAAGTGGCCTTCACTCCATCACCCTGAAGGTTTTGGCTTAGACAAGGTAGCCTCTTACAGAGATAAACTACTGCCCTATACATAGCCTGTCCACCCCAATGTCCAGGATGTCCCTGGGCGGGGCTTCCCTCATAGGTTCCTACTCTCTTATCACCATTCACCCCTTTGTGTTTCATGTTTGTGATTTTCCTGGATATTGGGGGTGGGGCAGGAGAAGGCAGGGTAAATACCAAAGCTATTAGTCAAAATTTTTATATTTCCAAACTGTTTCTGTTGCACGTGTGTAGCTCCAAGGTTTTTATTTTACTCCATGAAATACCTGGTCATTTTAATGTTCAAAAAGGAAAGAAAGACATAAAATTACCTTACCAAAAGGAAAAGAAAATTCTAGGCAGTTGAGCTAAAGTTAGTCGTAATGTAGAAAAGCAGCAAATGGAATTACTTCATTTGCTCAATTTGCAGTAAGTTCGTATGCATGCACACGCTCTGTGTAAGATGCTGAGATGTAAGCTTTCACACGTGGGAAGTCTTTGCCACCACTTTCTTTCCCCTGGACCTTCCTCTGGCTCCTAACCTGCCCTCTTGTGTCCACTCTTCCTCCTATTTTACATTCTCACCCACACCTGGAGTGACCTGTTAAAACTGAAAATTGGCCTTCCTGGCTGGCAAATGATGGGGGAGTATCTCTCAGCCTCCACAAAGAGGGTGTCTAGCCACAGGGTTACAAGGCAGATTGTGCATTTTTGCAACTGAGAACCTGGACACATGGCCTTTGCCCTCAGGAAATGAGAATGCCAGCACCTGGCTGTCCAGATAAATCCCACTGTGCCCCTGAGAATTATCATGAAAGATGGCCGCTCAGCTTGACTCCAGTTGGGCAGTGGGTCTTCTGACCTCTCAGGGAGTTCTCACCCGTGTCACATATGGACCCCACATTTCCAAAGAGTCAGGATCTGGTAAAATGTTTTAACATGGAAACTGAATGGACTGAACACACACTGAATTTCACCTGATTGCTCCAGTATTTTGCAAGTTTCTGGTTCATTGTTCTGGGCCTTAGTGCTTATTGTCCTAACAACGTGCAAAGCATTAAATAGACTCAGGAAATAGGGTTGGCAATGTTAGTGACATTTGGTCCCAGCACCTATAGCAATGACAGCTATTTTGAAAGACCATTTTCCAACTTTAGAGTGTGCTGAAATTTCCAATTGCTCATGATTTTAAATCAGTAACTATTCCAAGAATTTGATTTTAAATCAGTAACTATTGCAAGAATTAAGAAACTAGAAGTTTTATTTATAGAGATCAGTATCAAATAAACCATCTTATATTCTATAGTTGCAAAATTCTGCACACAGTGGAATAATCTTTATCATGCCTGGTTGAACTTATTTCCCAAAGGACAGTAATAAAAATATTTTTCTAAAACATGGAAAAAAATAAATGCAACAGAAGTCTCATAATGAATATCTCCAAAATTTCTTGCCATAGAAATTATACTACCTTCCGTTACAATTTTTCTAAGTTTGTGAGCTATACTTTTGCTTTTAATCTTCATTTTCATTATGCTTTCCAAAATTTCTCACAAAACCACATTTATTGTTCAATGTTTAGATTTCCCACGAAGAGGAGATTGAGCTGTTAGTTCATAGAATGTCTATCAGTTAAGAGCACATGTTTAGTATCAGACAGGCTTGTGTTCAAATCCTAGGTCTGTTACTTACCACCTGTGTGACCTGGGCCAATCCATTGACTTTTCTGCACCTTAATTTCTCCTTTATCAAATGGGGGTTACAGTAGTATGTCCCTTATAAGGTTATGGGCCAAGCACTCTGCCTGGTTAGGTAGAGGGAACAAAGACTCAGATACAGGTCTTCCCACTCCAGAGCCCAGAAAATAACCGCTATGCTGTGTGTACCCAAACCCACCAGAGCTAGGCTGCAAAAGGTTGTGGGGAGTGGAAATGGGGTCTGCAGATACAGGGTGGGGAAGACTTGGGCACATGCCACCTGGCAGGAGGCAGAAAGGCAGCTTGAGGGACTGACCCACTGTCCAGGATGCTGCCACCAAGAGCTGGACTGCAGCCATATCCAAGCCTGGGCTCTGCAGCCTCCCCTGACACGGTGCCTGCTCCTTCTACTGTCTTCTGGCCAAAGGCCCCAGGTGTTCCTCTGCAGGGGAGGAAGCATTGCCCACAGGTGGGAGTGGGGTGGAGGCCATGACACTTGCCCTGGGAGCCTCTGCAGTGCCCACTTTGCCAGCCCTTTTCATCCTCTTTGGCTTTAACATTGCCACCTGGGCCTGGAGACAGCCCCTCCGCCCGCCTCCAGGACCCCATGTTGAAGCATTTCCGAGACTCTCCGGAGGGGACCGGGAGGCCTCTTTGGCAGTGGGCGTGAAAGGCATGCAGGCCAATAAAGCCACTTGCCTGCACACCTGCTCTATTCCTCCCTCACAGACTGTGGACTGAGGGAGAGTGAATCCAGATGCTCCCTATGGAGCACTCCTTATGGAGAGCCCAAGAAACCAGCCAGAGGACCAACTGGCAGGTCCCTCACTGCCAAGGAGAGGCGGAGACAATGAGGCAGATGGAGCCTGGGAGCGGGGTACCTGTGAGGAACAGCACACCAGGGCGGGGGGGCATCTCAGGGGGTGCTCTTCAGCACTGCCTTCTTTTTCTTCTTCTTTTTTTTTTTTTTTTGAGTTATGTTTTAATTGGTGGGAATTTTTAGGACTTCAAGCCCAGGAGGCAGCATCTCAAGTAACCCTGAGACAACTGCTCAGAAGAGGCAAGGGGGGGAATCAGGTTATATAGAAGTTTTGCAACAAAGGGCAGGTAGTCTGAACGTCAAAATATTATTGTTAATTAAAGAAAACCTGCTATCCCAAGTTAAGGAATTTAGCACTTTTCTGTGTATGGGAAGATGCAAGATTCTGGGCTCCCTGAAATCATTCCTTTGATATGCACCTCAGCTACCTGGGGCCAGCGTCCTGTGTTTTCACATCCTGAGTTTCCTGAGGGCTGATCGTGGGAGTGGCTGCAGTCTGATGGCTGCTAGATGGCAGGTATTCTTTCCTTCCCGAGTTTCCTCAGGGCTCACTGGCTCACATTGGAGGGCTGCAATCGCTGATGACTGTGACATCCTTTGTTTACTGATATAGCATTGCCCTCTTTTTTTTTTTTTTTTTTTTTTTTCTTTTTGCGGTTCCCGGTCCTTTCCTTGCGGAGCACAGGCTCCGGACACGCAGGCCCAGCGGCCATGGCTCACGGGCCCAGCCGCTCTGCGGCATGTGGGATCTTCCTGGACTGAGGCATGAACCCGTGTCCCCTGCATCGGCAGGCGGACTCTCAACCACTGCACCACCAGGGAAGCTCCTGCCTTCTTTTGATGTGGTCTTGTGGGTCTCCAAACTCACCCCAAAGGCAATGGTTTAAAACTAGACCCTTGCTCCTCTCCCCCAAACCAGCTCTTAACACAGGTACCTTCCTTGCCTTTGCTCACATCTCATCCTCTCCACTTTCTGGACTTTTCCCACTCCTATGGTCCCCCTCATGGCATGAATCCCGGCCTCAGTGTTTATGACTTCTGGCCTGCTTGTCTTTCTTTATTTAGTTGCTAAATCCTCGTGTTTCTTCCTTTGAAAGACCCTATGACTTTACCCCTCTTTTTCATGCTTAGAACTGCAGTTTCCATCTAGACCTTATCTCCATATACCCAGTCCATTTTAGCGTCCTCTTGTGAGTCCTCTCTGTTCAGAGCCTCTCTCCTGATTTAGTCCATCCTCCACTCAGACAGCAGATAAATGGTCTCAGACCATCAACTTCATTATGCCACTGCTTCCACCCACTCCCTCAGAAGACTTCCATAGCTCTTCCCTGACTGGGGGTAGGGCCAAACTCCCCAGCTGTGCAAACTCCCCAAGATCAAGTTGTTAACACCCTTACCACCTTCCCACTCCCGAACCCAGGACAGACATCAATAAGCGATTCCAGCACTCTTTCCCATTGAACTCAGACTGGGCATCAGAGCCATTCTCTGGATGGCACTCCAGGTAGCAATGTTTATCAGTTAGGACGTCCACAAAAGACGACCCCTGCCTGCTCTTCCAGCTCATGGTGTGCTGTGTGTGGCCCGTCTGCCTGTTCCTGGTCTCCTGCTTGTCTCCTCCCTTTCACCTTCTGCCACATTGCTCTCTCCTCCGTGCGCAAGCTCTCGTGCATGAGTTGCTTGGCTGTGCCTTGCCTGATGGCCTCTGTGTAGACTGAGTCTTCCCTCCTCAAACAGATGCAGCAGTCCTGGAGGGCATGCATGTGTCTTCCCTCCCCCGACACCCACGTGGCCCACTGCACCCAGCCCAGGAAGTAGGCTTGGGTTTCCCTGTCTCTTGCATGAAGGAAGCAACTTATTTATTGAGTCCTCTGCTTCATCCACTCAGAAGGGCCATGATACTCCTCCTAAGGATGTGGTGCTGTGGGTAGAGTGCCGGGCCTGGACATGGAAGTCTAATTTGCCCAGATAAGCTCTGAAAGGATGCTCAAGGGAGTCGCAAGATCACGACTACAGGAGTACCAGACCCCAGTATGCTCTCATTTTGTCTCCTGTTGTCTGCCTTTAAGCACATGACTTAACTTCTCTGGGTATTGGGTATCAGTTATCTACAAAGGCTGCAGCAGCAAGCCTGTGGATGTGGCAGTTCCCATCTCCCTCTCCTCTTGCCTCCATGGAGGATCCAAGCTCAGATGTCAGAGCTCAGCCCCCATGCCCATGTGGGCAGTGGGGGTGGGGTGGGGGGGAGGCAAACACATGTATTCTAGAACCACAGGCCTCCATCTTGGATACCGAGTGCCTCCTTCTTTCCTCCACAGCAGCAGGGACACTGCAGCATGGAGCTGAAGAGAGGAAAGACATTCATCAAATCTAGCCTGCAGATTGACCATGAGAAACCCCCAGATCCAGCAGCCACTGCCCCGGCCACGGAGGATGCAGTCTCACCAGGAGGGCAGCAGCGACCCCACAGTGAGAGGGGCCCCCAGGTCAGTCCCAGCACCCAAGGATATGACAGGTGCTCCGACAAGGGGGCCCAGCCAGACGCCAATGGGGGGCCTGCAGCTCTCTGTGGGACCACCTTCAAACTGGTGCAGAAGAGCAAGACTCAAGACACTGCGCCCAGGGCTGACAGGGCAGCCGCAGCTACAGGGCAGCTGGTGGGCAGCGCAAGCTTCCCAGGGCCCCCCAGGAGCCAGCGCATGATTGACTACCGCCACTTTGTGCCCCAGATGCCCTTTGTACCAGCTGTGGCCAAGAGCATCCCAAGGAAGAGAATTTCCCTGAAACGACCCAAGAAATGTTTTCGGAATCTATTCCACATCCGCAGAAACAAAACTGAGAATTTGGCCTCACTGGCAACCAAGGGGAAGAGCTTGTCCTCCCCTGAAGGCCCATCAGAGGCTGGAGGGCAGCAAGGCACAGCTTGCTTCCCCTTGGGCGAGGGGCTGGGACTGGACAGCCTGTGCCAGGACCTGTCTGACAGTGAGTTCCTACCCGACTCCTCCTTTGACCTCTGCAGGGCCCTGTGTGAGGATGTGGCCTCGCTCAAGAGCTTTGACTCACTCACCGGCTGCGGGGAGATCTTTGCAGACGAGAGCTCAGTGCCCTCCCTGGAGCTGCATGAGGGCCTGGAGAGCCCTGCCCGGGCATCCCAGGCCCCTGACTGCATGGCTTCCAGGGGCCCCTTCCAGGGCAGCGTAGAGCAGCTGGCATCGCCTGCCCAGAACGAGATGTCTGACTTTGACAAGTTCTGGGACCGTGTGAATCACTCGGTGAGGCAGCAACAGCGCGCCCTGCTAGGTCCGTGGCTGGGGGGCCCCCAGGGGTCAGACACAGACAAGCCCAGGCCAGATGCAGCTGGGCTTGCTGAGCTCCCCCTGTGCCCATGCAGGGACCCCCACGGCGACTCCAAAGCCAGCTCCATAGACACGGGCACGCCCAAGAGCGAGCGGCCAGAATCTGTGTCCACGAGCGACGAGGGCTACTATGACTCCTTCTCACCAGGCCTCGAGGAGGACAAGAAGGAGGCCCCGAGCCCAGGCACACCCGCAGCCGCCTTCCCCAGGGACAGCTACAGCGGAGACGCCCTCTACGAGCTCTTCTATGACCCCACCGAGGGCCCTGGGAGCCCGAGCCTGGACGACGACCTGTGCGTGTCTGAGAGTCTGTCGGGGCCGGCCCTGGGAGCCCCGCTGTCCATGTGCAGCTTCCACGTGGGGGCAGAAGAGAACCTGGCCGCCGCTCCAGGCCCAGACCTGCTCAGCCAGAGCTTCTTGCAGAGCTCCTGGAGGGGCAAGGAGTGCCTGCTGAAGCTCTGCGACACCGAGCTTGCCATCACCATGGGCATTATCAACTGGCTCCGCCGGAGCCCAGAGCTCCGTGTCCCGCCTGCCTCAGCCCCCAGGGAGCCTGCAACGCCCCCGGGAGGACTGGTGGAGAAACCAGGAGCTGGCTCTGAGAAGGTGTGCCTAGGTCCAGTGAAGCTGGAGGGCGGGGGGACCCGGGCCTTAGATGCGGGGAGGACCTCCGTGAGCTCAGCACCCAGCAGGCGGGAGCTGTGGGCATGTTCGGGCCGCAAGGGCCCGCTTGCTGGAGTGAGTGAGGTCCTAGCGGGGACCAAGCAGGGGACCACCTCTCCATCCAGGGACCCCCCTCTGGAGTGTGTGCAGGTCTCTGGGGAAGAAGGGACACAAGGCCACCCTGAAGGCTCGTTCTCCTCTGTGGGGTCTGCAGCCCCCATGGCAACCAACACATCCAGCAAAAACAAGGTCCCAAACCCCTCTGCCTGGCCTGGCTCCCAGGAGCCCAGTTTTCCTGGGAACCTGGGGTGTTTCCAAGGTCCCTGGAGGCCAGGTCTCGGGGGAAGCACCGTGGATTTAGAGCTCACTCTGACAGGCTGTGTGGCCCAGGTGGCAGCCCTACAGATCCACCCAGACTGTCAGCCCCCAAGGCAGAACACAGGTAGCGGGCTCCGCGGGCAGCCTCAGGCCAGGGGCCCTGACGTTCTACAACAGAAACAGCCTGACAGCTTCCCTAGCATGGCTGCCCTATGTGGCCTGCCCTCCCTGGCCAGCCCACTCCACAGCCTACAGGACCAGAGGTGCCCAGGCCGCATTCTGGACCTGAGCCAGATCAAGGTGGAGCCCGCCAGGCTGGATGCCCAGGCCCATGCCTCTGTGGAGGACCAGCCTCTGCAGCTCAGCTCAAGGGCTATAGAGCAGGCTGCACACAGGAGCCAGCTGGACTCATAGCCCCCTCAGTCCTGCTGCCTGGGATCACCTGCCAGGAATTCTGGCCCTCACTTCCAACAGCCAGTGGGAGGGGGCCCACTCTGCAAGTGCCCCAGAAAGCCGCTACAGCTTCTTGGACCACGAGGGCATCCTCTGCAACCAGCAGGAAGTGGGACCTCCCAGGCCAGCATGGCTGAGACCCACCTTTGGAACGGTCTTGTGTCTTTGTGGTCACACTCAGGAGAGCCTAAGACCCAAATCTCCACCCTTTGTCCCCGATGTGAGGACTGTACTGGGGGGGAGGGGGTGGCAGGACTCAGTGGGGCGGGGCATTTTAACATGGAGGCATCCACAGCTGAACCCACCAGCTCAGCCAGAATAGGTCCCGGGCAGCCCAAGGCCAAGGACAATCGCAAAGCTTCTAGCGCTCTCAAAATGTGCCTCACCGACTTTCCCACCAAAAAATGAAGCGTCTAAACCCAGATGTGAAGTAGCCACATTTGGCCACTCCTCATACAGCATGTCAGAGAGAGGAGCTCGGGTTTGAAACTGATGGGATGGAAATGGTACATATTATAAAGGGTACATATTGTGCTGATAACTCTGCACAAGGGTTGAGAGTAATAAATGTGAGTGGGGGGTCTGAGGCTCAGGGGTAGGCGCTTGAGACAGGGGTAGGGGGCTGCAGATGAGCTTGGGAGTGCCCACTTGCCCCACCCCAGCCTGCTCTCCACCCCCAGGATGAGCAGCCACAACCTTCGGGACCCTGAAGGGCTTCTCTGAGGGAATCAGAAGCAGAACCAGCCATCTCAGCAAGAGCCTTGAACCAGCAGATGCCATGCATTCCTGTGCAACCTTGCCAGGGCTGGCCAGACCCTGCAGACTCTGGCCTATGGGTGTTCTCTGTCACAAAGCATCCCATCCAAACAATGATTTCCCCCAGCTTGCATTCTCTAACTGAGCTACAGGTGGCAAGATACTCTTGGGGAAGAAGCTGACTGATTCTCCACACTGCCATTCTTGCCCTCCATGCTGCCAAGCATTCTAGCCTCCCACTTCAGGAAGGCTCACCTTTGAATGAGGCTGTATCCCCCAACCCCTCGAAAGCCACATGTGCACAGCACCAAACATTCAGAATCACAGAGGGAAAGGTGGCTCGCACCTCAGGAAGGGCAGGTGTCTGTTTGGCCAGCCTCAGGGCAGCAGGCCAGCAGCCAGCCCCCTGCCAGGGTTCCCTACGATTAGATCCTGCCTCAGCTGCCCTGTTGTGGTGAGGTGCCAGGCGGGGGTGGGGGGTGCGTGGGGGGGGGAGTATGCCACAGGCAGCTATGAAGCTTTTTCTAGAAGAGAGGCCAGCCTAGAAAGGGGGCAGGCCCAGTGATGAGGGAGGAATTCCAGATGGAGGGATGCAGTCTGGCAAGCTGATCACAGGCTGGGGCCTCTCCTGATTGTCTGAGGCTTTGTTTCACGCTAGAACACCCTCCACGGCCCTCATTAACAACTGCTTCCTGGGGCCCACTGTGTGGAGGATGCATGCAGCACATGGGAGGTTCAAAAGGGCATGACAGGGCTCCTGACCAGGCCCATCGAGACAGGACACAAGGAAGGTCAGGGCTAGCCTTTCTGGGAAGCCACACTTGACCCTTCCTCCCAGGACTGCCACAAGTGGTCACGACAGCGTTATTGGGCCTAGATGGGAGCAGGTGACATGTGGAGTAGCTCGCTGCATCCCTGCAGCAATCGGAATGCAGCTGCTCTCCTGGTTTCTGACATGGAAACCGAGGCCAGGGTGCGGATGTGGCTTGCCCATGACACACTCGGGCAGTGTGTGGGACTGATGGTGTCGGAGCCAAACCCCGACTCCTAGGGTCCAGCTCTCGGTAGGCTCCTGCCATGAACACCCCTCTCGAAGCCTCCTCTCCTCCCTTCTTTTAGGGCACAGGTGTCTGGGTTCCAGGAGTGCATCTCCGTTACTTTGTACCGCACCTGAGCAGAGCAAGTGCTCAGTAAATACTGTTACAAGAATGAAATATCAAAAGGTTGTACCTGGTTTTCTGATTTCTTGTTGCCTGTGGGCCTTGTGTCTAGAGAGCAGCAGAGTTGGGTTTAACCTGGCAGAAGTTCTGATGGAGACTTCCTTGATGTGACACAGTGACTTCTGGAGATGTGGAAGAACCAGCCTGGTCCAAGAGCACTGGGAAGGGCAGGAACCAAAGTGGTCCAGGTCAGGAGAGGCCTGGAGTCAGGAGGGCAGTACCAAAGGGGACCCAGGGCTCAGAGTCCATGGTGAAGCAGGTGTACGGTGACCCAACAGCAGGGCAGCAGAAACAAGGACTTAGGACCATGCCTACTGGGAGGAAATATTGCCCAGTGGCTCTCAATCTGGGGAGCATTTTAGGCAATCCCAGCACTGCAGAGATTCTCACTCAGCAGTCTGGGGAGTGGTCCCAGCAGTGGTGTTCTAGGCGCCCTGCTGGGAGAGTGAAAGAGGCTGTGTGATCTTCCTCTTGTGTGCACTGAGTCAAGGGTCCCTCAGCCCATCTCTCTTTCTGCACCCCACCCCTCAGGCTGCCCTCCCCAGCAAGATGGGTCCAGGCAATGCCATTCTGACTGGGCTTCACAGTCCTCAAGGATGTCCTCGAGGTGACGCACTGGGAGGAAGAGGGGAACTTCAGGGTCCAGCTCCTGGGACAGGTGCCTAACCCAGTGATGGGTGTGGAAGAGACCTGCTTGGGGCATTTTCATAACTCTGGTCAATTTCCAGCCCTGTCATTCACACGTGGCTGTAGAGGTTATAGAAGAGTTTTCCCATGTAAAGTAAAATCCTGAGAAGTAGGTCCAGTTGTCCCCAGCTCACAGATGTCCCAGGGTCACACAGTGGTGGGTGAGCTGGGGTTCACCCTGGAGCCTGTGCACTGTGCTTCTGCCCTTCCAAGCTTCTGAAGTTGAGTTAGAAAATAGGAAGGTACCCAGGCAGCCTCCCAGCTGGGGGAGGCCTGGGCCCTACAGCAGGGTGGCCAGGGTGGACCAGGAGGGCAGGGAAGAGAGCAGGAGAAGGTGCTGGAAAGAAGAAGGAGGTGAAGGCCAGCACAGGTTGGGGAAGTGCCTGCCAATTACATTGGGGGTGCTTCTTACCTTTCCTGGCTCTTCAGTTTATTTATTTGTTTGTTTGCTTATTTATTTATTTATTTTTATAAAATGGGGACAAATATACAGAATACAAAACTCAAATGACACAGAAGGGAGAACAATGAAAAGTGAGTCTCCTCCAATTCCTCCATTACCCCCTGTTGTTTTGAATCAAAATTAATACCCACTTACTACAACCAATTCAAACAATGCCAAGTGCAGATCCTCCTCTTCCCTGTCCTTCTTGAACATTGGGTGTGTCCTCGGACCCTTTCTCTGCCCATGACATAAACACACATGGACTTGAACCTTTTTTCTTACTGCACACCATATCACAGATGTCTTCCTTGAACTTAGCAGGCACCAGGAGCACACAGGTTCTACATTCTCTTGAAAGCTGCACAGCAGTCTCCTGTAGGTGGCAAGTGATTTAAACACTCTCCTGTTGATGGATAGTCAAGTTATTTCCCATTTTTGCTGTTACAAACAATGCTGCACGCACTCCTTTTTCTCCTAAATGTTCTCTCTGAAAGTCCTCTTCAAAACTATAAAAGTGAAATTTAACAAGGAACAGATGTAATTTTTAAAATGAACAGTGCATCCTGCTTCTATGTCTCCACCCCAATGCCCACCTACCGTAAGGGCCTGATGTTAATGGCCTGGGCTCCATGCTCATACAAACATACTACACACCCCCATCTTTGGAAGGGGAGAGGTGAGTTCTTTTGTTATTATGTATAAGGCCTTAAAAGTTGTCATTCCCATCCTTACAACAAGAAAAATGTGGACAACCTGAAAATCCATGACTTTCCTTGATTCATCAGAAAACAGAGGTCACAGAGCAAATAACTCCTCTGAAGTCTGGAGGCAAAGGTGCATCCAGAGAAACGAGGCAACCAAGACCTGGTGCAAGATGCCAAAGAACTGGTAGGAACTGTTCAGGAGTCGTTTTGACAAGTGGCTGTAGGCTGAATAAGAAGCTATAAGGGGCTGGGCAGTAAAGGGGGGCTCACACTTTCATGGCTTTCCTCCAGGAACCACACTGTGTTTTCAGGGTGAGGACAAAAGACCCCCTCATGGGCTTGGCAAAGGAAGAAGAGTAGCCATTGTGAAACCCTCCATAACCTTCTCCCTAACAGGCCTATGTAAAGGGGAGGGGCTTCCCCAGGGGACTATTCTGAAGACTTTTCCAAGCTGAAGGAAGGCACTCCACCCGACCCCTGTCATCTCCAGCCTTCCTGTCTCACTTAAGAAAAAGAAATATAGATAGAAAGAAAGATAAAAAGAAAAGGACAGTTAACCAGAAAAGGACTCCAAAATACAAAACTGGAAATGGTGGGCCAGAAGGGACTAGGGTTTTGGAAGGCTTAACCCCACCCTGGGGGCACAGGCCCACAAAAGACTGAGACTGATTAGAAGCTTAGAAGATAAGGGCACATTCTCTCCCTCCTGACTAACCCCATTACCACACTAATAAGCCTCCAGTAATAAGAACTGTGGATTAAAACTAAAAGAGCTACAAGACAAAGACTCTCTCTAAAGATCAGAACAAAAGGAAGCCACAAAGAAAAGAAGGGAGGAAAAAGTAAGCCCACTAGAGTAATATGAAGCCTCTGGTGCCTATAGTTATAAGAAATATTAAAGCAGCCCAACTCTTAGCCAGATTAACATAAATCCTCACATTAAAAGCCTATTTACCTCAGTACCTATTACCCTATACAATGTCTGGCTTTCAACAAAAAATTATAAAGCCTGTTAAAGCCAAGAGTAAACAATGTCTGAGGGACAAAGCTATTGCCAGAACCAGTCACAGATGTTGGAATTATCACATAAAGATTATAAAATAAGATTGATTAATATGTTAAGAGTTCTAGTGAAAAAAGTAGGCAAAATGCAAGAACAAGTGGTAATATAGCTGACAGGAAGAATTCCAAGAAAGAAATCCAAAGAATATGCTAGAAGTCAAAAACACTGCAAATTAAATGCAGAATTAAACATGGCTGAGTAAAGAATCTGCAAGCTTTATTAGAAAATACTTGAGACAAATAAAAAGAGACACAATATACCAAAACTTACAGGATGCAGAGAAAGCAGTGCTAAGTAGGAAATTTATTGCTACAATGCATACATTAAAAAAGAAGAAAGATCTCAAATTGATAACCTAAATTTATATTTTAAGGAACTAGAAAAAGAAGAATAAACTAACCCATAGCCAGTAGAAGGAAAGAAGCAATAAAACTTAGTGGAGATAAATACAATAGAGAAGAGAAAAAAAAAAATAAAACAGGAAAAAGTCATCAAAACCAAAGTTGATTTTTTGAAAAGATCAACTAAATTGACACACATTTAGCTTAAACTGAGTAAAAAAGAGAGAAGACTCAAAGTACTGAAATCAGAAATATAAGTGGGGATATCACTACCAATTTTATAAAAATAAAAAAGATAATAAGAGAATGCTATGAACATTTATATATCAACCAATTGCATAACCTAGATGAAATGGACAAATTCCTAGAAATGTACATCTATAAAAATGAATCACGAAGAGGGGCTTCCCTGGTGGTGCAGTGGTTGAGAGTCTGCCTGCCGATGCAGGGGACACGGGTTCGTGCCCCGGTCTGGGAAGATCCCACATGCTGCGGAGCAGCTGGACCTGTGAGCCATGCCCACTGAGCCTGCACGTCTGGAGCCTGTGCTCCACAACAGGAGAGGCCACAACAGTGAGAAGCCCGCGTACTGCAAAAAAAAAAAAAAAAAAATAGAATCACGAAGAAAAAGAAAACCTGAATAGACCTATAACTACTAAGGAGACTATGTCAGTAATAAAAAAAATCTCTCAGTAGAGAAAAGCCTAGGACAAGATGGCTTAACTGGTAAATTCCATCAAATATTCAAGGAGGATTTAAAACTAATTATGCTGAAACTCTTCCAAAATATTGAAGAGGTGGGAATAGTTCCTAACTGATTCCATGAGGTCAGCACTACCCTGATACCAAAGCCAGAAAAGAAACTACAAGAAAACTACATACCAATATTTCTTATGAATATATAGATACAAAAATTCTCAACAAAATACTAGCAAACTGAATTCAGCAGCATAGTAAAAGGATTATACACCAAGACCAAGTGAGTTTTATTCCTGAAGTGCAAGGATGGTTC